ATCTCAACCTTTTGTTTACGTTAGCTCTGCCATCTCAACCTTTTGTTTACGTTAGCTCTGCCATCTCAACCTTTTGTTTACGTTAGCTCTGCCATCTCAACCTTTTGTTTATATTAGCTCCGCCCTCCCAGCACAGCGTTTATGTTAGCTCTTGTGAAAATGGCTGCTACAAGCAGATGCACAATGGTACAACAGTAGTAGACAGACTGTGCAGTGTGGCCCCCCAAGGGCCTGGTAGGGAGAGACTGGGGCTTTTGATCAAAGTCAGACACCTTGGTGCCGGGGAGGCCAACATGTTTCCTTGGCATTCCTAGGTCACTGGGATTGTGACATCACAAACTGCAGGTTTTTGAAACCGCTCATTTGCTGACATTAAAAAAAAACATTTATATATTGTTCAAAAACAACTGGGAGTATTATTTTTATTGCGCTTGGACTGTTTCTGGAAGCAGTACAAACCCAAACTGAGGCATACAAACACATAAAACCTGTACTTTCAGACAGCTGCAGACCCCCAACCACCCCCTCACCTGTAGATCAGCACAATGATGAGGACAATAAGGGCAACTATGGACGTCCCAACACTAACTCCAATCTGAGCTTCCAGAGGGAAGGTGGCTGGGTTCAGATTATCATACTGAACTTTGCCTAAAGAAAAGTTCAGGTTGCCCATTTGGACCTAAAAATACAAAACCAACTGTTATTTAGTTTATTTATTCTCACAGTTAAACTCACAATTAGAATAGAAACAGCTTCAGATGGACACATGGAGGTGATGGACTCACAGTGAACTCAGGCAGCTGGTCGGAGCCCTCACACTTCCTGCAGTTTGGACCTGGAGCAGGCTGCTGAGGGGGCGGCTCACAGTATAGATGGTTTCTGGTCAGGGTCATCACAGCACACACCCCTTCGCCAATCAAGACCACCACCTCGTCTTTAGTGATGGCCAGATCCAGGTTGTCTCCCTGAGAACACAGATTCAAACCGTTGCTTGTTTTTGTGGTGTTTTTTGATTTAAAGTGTCACGAACACACACAGAGTGAGCAGGTGTAGCAGGTACCTACCCTGTAGGTAAACCTATAATAACCTTTGTGTGAAAAGTGGCGTACGCAAGTTTCTGGGCTCGTTTAGTGCGTATGCAAGTTTTAGAAATCCAACCCATGTCTCATGAGGGACTTGAGGTGTTCAAATTCAAAGACTCCTCCAATGAAGCCCACAAATGTCCTTTTTCCCCGATTTGAGGGAYGGGTCTGAGGGATTGTTCTCGGCCCACCATATCCCATGATGCATTGTGGGTCAACCTGAGGTTTGTTTTTGTTTGCAATAATGGACTAGGTGAGAGAAGGGAGTAGAGTTTTAAATAAAAATCTGTTGGTATAAAAATGAAAAGTTTCAAGCAGTTGTGTTGTTAATGTTTGATGATTGGTAGACAGATGAGTGGCCTCTGTCAGTGTGCAGCTGTGGCTACCATGTAGCTTACCACCATCAGTGTGTAAATGGGTGGATGTCTGTAGTGTAAAGCACTTTGAAGTTCACAGGGTTTTGATATTCCTAGCAAGTGTCAAATCAGATCTAGGATTACAGAAACTGAACTTTGCAACTATTTGTGCTCAGTACGATGACAACTAAGGTCTCTCTAATCTAATTTAATCTAATCTGTGTTTCAGAGTTGTGAAGTTTTGTCATACATTTTGAACTTGTTCTAGTTTCAAACAAGACAAGAAGAAACGTGGGAACAGCTGCAAATGTTTGAAAACATTAAGGAAACTTGTGAATTCCTCAGTGTTTCCTTCTAGTTTCCTGAAGTCACAGCCCGGCGGGATATTACTTTTAATCTTTGSTAAATATGAAGGGATTAAAGCCTGGTGGAATTCATGTGGAACAGCTAGTTATGAAATGTGTCTGTGACTAATGTTGGGTTCATGTTGGGACCCCTGAGTCTTAATCCTAGTCAGATTAGGACTCTACATCAGTGTTGCCAGATTGGGCAAATTTCCGCCCAATTGGGCTTCTTTTGAGCATGTTGGGCTGGAAAAAACAGCTTTGGGCAGATTGTTAAAATTTGGGCAGCTTTTTACAACATTTGGTGGGTTTTTAGAAAGTATTCATGAGGAAATTATATTTTAAAAAAGCAAGTGTCACTACGAAATGGTACTGGTTAATATCAAATGTAAATGCGCCGAATATATATATATGTGTG